CTCATAAAAACGTACGCACATAATCGGATCTCGATTGACTTGGAAAAAAAAGTTGTGAAAAACAAAGAAACTTTAGTCAAGAGAAATAATATCCCTCCTTTCCGACGGGAATTTCGGCAAAAAGGTTAAAAACGAAACCTGCTTATAAATGCAAATTGCCGTATCAATGCATGGAGCATGACTCATTGTATAAAGCGTAAATGATCGTGTATGAACCGAATGGCAATGGCAGAATACATCGAGAAAAAATATATATTTATATAGCATTCCCCGAGAAGGCAAGATTTCCCCATATCGACTTGGTCAAATTCCATTGGACTGGTAAGCATAAAAGTAGTGATAAACAAAGCAGTGGCGGATGGGGGAGGGGAGTTTTTGCAACCCCCGTTCAGCCGCTGACAATGTTATTTATACTAGTAAAATGGTGCAAAATAATAATGAATGGAATGCTCAAGTTCCTACGTTTATTCTCTAATTCAATGCAGGAGAAAGCATCGTAGATTTCCAAATTTTCCAGAGGGCATTCCCTGCCCCCTATAGCATATCACCCCCTTCCTATCACCCCAATTCCTGAAAGCTAGATCCGCCCCTGCAAAGAATTCATGTGGGGAATAACGGTCAAATGCATATTTCCTGACATTTTGATCGTTAAGTTGTTTTTGCTGAATAAATAATTCCTTCGCTTCAAATTCCTAGTATCTCTATGAATTTACACAATTATGAAAGCATATAAATAGTGCAAGGGTCTGAACATATAAAAGCGACCTATATATGACCACGCGTAAATTTCATAACTGCTATAAGCACACAATTTTTCTAAGCAACGTTTTGCTTACCAAGACAAGGTTATACCAACTAAATTGTCATGATATAGGATGCATGCATGTGACTTGCACGTGACTAGCTCGTGACTAGTTCTTCTGGGACGGTTTCTGTTTATAGTAGGGGAGCATTTTCTCCTAGGACGCTCTCAGAAATGTTGTCGAGGGAGAAGAGACAGTGACTAACCGGAGGAAGCGTTCATTGTGTCGTGCGAAGACGGATTGACCGGGGCTAGCTATGATGTCTCTGTCTGCCAATGTGGCACGTTTCCGGTCTAGTAGCTTCTCAAAGACGAAGTTTCAGTTTGGAACTGATGGTTTGACATATCTACTCCTTTCATTTCTCGCCAACAATTTTCTCTTTACTGACGAAAAAAAAGTGTGCACAAGTTGCATAATATATCATGGGTCCTGATTTATAGAAGTATTTATATGTAGTAACTCTTGTAATGACTAATAATTTATTTGGCTGATCAATAAATAAGATCGACTTATAAACTGATTGGTATATACGCATTGATATATCTCTTCAGTTAAATTATTGGTTTGCGATCAATTTTTGATAAAAAAAATTTACTAACAGAATCTTTTATCGTTCATCTCATTCTTAGTTGCTTTTGAGTTTGACCAGCATTGATTGATCGATGCTCTGTTAATCAACAGATCGATAAATGATGATATCGATGATGACATGTCGGTTGTTCGATTTGATTGAGTTATTGGACCAAATACTGGGTTCCGGGTAAAAAAAATATCCGGGTAAAAAAACATCCGTATCGATGAATCGGATAACTGATGAGAATGTATGAGCGTGATTCAAACGTCTGTTTTGACATTTGAGCAGCCAGTGATTATTCAAATGATGGATTTCTGTTTGGCACATTGGGGACATTATTCACCACAGCTAGCATGCGCGAGTTTCAAGGATGCCAAGGTGTTTGTAATGGCAAGTTATAGTGTAATCATCGATGTCTTATGGGTCCTAGTTGAGTGATGTGCTGGGCCTAAGGGGCCCTGGGCAACCCCGATATCCAACGGGGTATTTCTGGTTACATACCCTCGCTATATCTGTACGGAGCGGGCCAACGACATCGAGTGAACCGCTTAAGTCCCTACGGGGATTTGCGCCAAACAAACCAACGGATCTCTACGCTGGCTCTGCAACCATTGATACAATAAAAAATTGGCGTAGAATTTGCAAACTGGCTGATGAGATTCTTTTTCGTTCCACCTTGCCCCAACCATGCCCCAACCTTTCAACTTGTCGCCAGGTCCACTGGGGATCAATTCTCGCTGAATGTAGCCCCGTTTACTTCGGGTGTAACGTTTGGGGTTTATGCGGGAACACTGTATATAATGCAGCGCAAATAATGCCGGAGAACCCTTTGTGTTGTGAATAGCAAAGATTTAAAAGTGACCAGCCAGCACCGGCTGGCCTGTCAAAACTGCTTAGGATCAAACTATATGGCACAGAATTTAAGGAGACTCAGCTCAACGTGTTTAGACTATCGCCTTTGAAAGGCATATAAATTTCGTAACAATGTTTGCTTATTTTGATAGTGACTTAAGTATGCCTAGCCTTAATTTTGGTTGTATCAATAACTTATATCATGGCAAAATTTCTGCAAAATTACTGCACCTTTTTCCTTTGAAAATTCGTAAATGAAAAAAAAACCCACTCAATCTCCAAATTGTATCGATACACAGACTGTGAAACCTGATAACCACTGCTAGACTCGAGGCGAGTCGTTCTTAAACCCTCCCTTAGCAAATGCGTTTCACCCTTGGGCTAAAAAAGAAGAAGCTGTAACCGTGAAGGTAAAGTTATGAAGAGAGTAGCTCTCCGACAGTCGCCCAATAACCAGTCTCGAATGGAGGCTACGCATCGACAAATAAAAATCAACAGTGAAGGACGTGCTTTTGATTTTTTTTATATTTAGCTTAAAGGAATGTAATTTGAAGTCAGTTTAGGCCCAGGTGAGGTCGCTTTTGGGCCCAGTATGACGCCATGGTTGGAGGGCCGACTGTACACCCCAAAATCCGATTCCGTCTAGGATTTCTCTCACGTGGGAAAGTGTGAAACCCGGCACGTAGTGGGCGATGTACGGCGGCTGAACGAATCGCTCCTAGGGCGAACGACTTGCCCAAGACACGCTGTGCTTTATCATGACATAATTTCCATGTAGCCAGATGAATGGGACACAATAACAGACGAATTACTCGCCATGAAAACACAATGGTGTCTCATTGGAAAGTTTAGCCACCGTGAAATAAGCACGGGGGCACCGCCCACGGTGCCACGGTACAATAACTGCGGATTGGTCCGGATTGGCCAGGACAATGAGACAAAACAAAATGGCGGATGCCCAAAGGTGTGATGAAACCAGCGAAGTATTGTGAAACGGCTTTTCAACTTCGTTTCCGAAATGCATTTCCAGTCCACAGCCGTCCGTATTGAGAGCTATAATAAATCCGACAGATTACTGGAAACTTTGTGAAAACAATTTCTCTTGCAAGTGAAACCCTTCTGTTATCGATGAAAAAAGTACATTCTGATCTCAATCGATTTAAGTTAAAAAGTCCTAATAACTTTGGCAAACCTGATAACTTTTGACAAGCCGGCCTCTTTCTTCGACGTTTTATAGTGTAGTGGCATCAAATCATGAGCACGTACGCTAGGTGAGTATATTTCATACAAAATACTCCAAGCTGGTATTAGGAAAAAAAATACTTCGTCCTTGATTAATAACAATCATATTTAACCATTGAGCAGAACACCAACATGGCTTACCCACAACCATATGGTCCCAAACAGGACATTTTTCTTCATTTCTGAAGTCAAATGAACCACATAATGCAGACACTTGCAGTATACATTTTTTTTGGAAACCGAATATCGGTGTTCTTCTCTTTGTTGCTGCTGACAAGTGCATTGGGGGTCTGGACTGTACACAGCAATTCATGGGCGCTGAAACCCGAGGCTGCTCGCACGTATGATGTTTCACGAATTAGTTGCAACACAATGGGCACGCGTCGATCTCGTTACACTGCCGTGAACATTTTCAGGTTCATGAATATTCCCGGAGACAGAAAGGAATACTTCTACCTGTGTCCCGTAAATGCTTAAGTTCACTGCTTGAGTCTGTTTGAATAGAGAAATATTTGGAACAGAAAAATCCGATGGCATTCCCTTATCCTAAATTTGAATCAACTCAACTCGGAAGCCAGACTATCCAGGGGTTTCCTTCAAGGGTTAAGGCTCCCCCAAAGAAGGTGAGAATCCCATATGGGAGACGCCTCCCACCCCTCTAAATCTTCTCAAAACTTGGGTGACATCTCACACTTTGTAAACCCCGGAATGTGTACAAAGTGGGTGTTACTTTACGGGTTGCGGGATCTTATTAATGCCTAACACGATCTCTTCCTGAAGGTGATGAACACTCATTCAGAAGACGTCAGCCCACCATGCTTTTGAACGACTTGAGCCCATCTACCTTGGTTTGGAAGCGAACCCTGAAAGTTTATGGACCTTCAGTCCAGGGGAATTTGAGATGTCAAGAACCTCTTTCAAGGGTGAGAGGAACAAAGTAGGGGTGCCAAGGTAAAGTTCTGTAGGCGCGCCATTGCTTCTCCGAACCGCACATTATAAGTACACACGAGATCATTTCACATGAGAAACCGCAAACCATCTGTTCACTGCCAAGTTTGTAACTCGAGAGTAATGTTGGGGTTTAGGAGGTTAGGTCAGGTTTGGCCTGAAGCCTACCAATGATCAAATCCTGAATGCTGTTGCCGAGTCCATCACAAGACCGGTCGCAAGCAAATCACAAGTCCTTTTTACAAGTCCGATTACAACAGGGGATGGACAGTGACAAAGCTGAATGCCTTTGTCACATTGTCACAAATCATTAAAATAGCTTGTGACTTGACTTGAGACAGGAATGCTTGTTGTGGACTTGTGACGACTTGTGATGGACCTGTGATAACTTGTGATGATCTGCGATGACTTATGATTGAATCGACTACAACAGTGATCGCAAGATCGGAACAAAAGCAAGGCTGCATCTTGTAAAACAAGGACTCTTCGCGCCGTTACTATCCGGGTACCAAGTACCTGGAGTATTACATTAGCCTCTTTTTCAAAATTCGACCCGTCCATGTATAAGCCTCCCAACTTACCGATTGCCGTGACCCGACCGAAGACAGACCCCGTCTCAGCCGTACTGCAGTTCCACCTTCGGTTACTGAACTGGTATCGGCACTCTTCGATTCCCATACGGGCCCCCTCCCCAATCGGGCCCATGTGATCCTGGAAGAGTTGGCATAGCTTCTGTTGGCCCGAGGAGAGACCAGGTAGCTCGGCGCATAGGGGTTGGGTGCCCAGAATGTACAACTCAGGGCTGCCTATGGTGTCGAACTGGTGGAGTATCCGTGAGTCCACGCCTAAGTTCCTGGTTTTGGGTCGAAAGAAAAGGGTAGTGAAATTAATAAAACTGAAATTGGATAGGGGATCAGATTGCGTACAGGTATACTATGATCATGTGCCTTCCACTGCTGCGACCCGGATGCGAATCCCGCCTGGGCCTACGCGTGGATTTGGTGTCCAGTCCCTGGTTCTGCGGGTTTTCCCTGGAATGTCTTCCCGAGGTTTTCCTCCCACTACTAAAACTGTAATTTCCTTCTTCATCTTCTACCAAGGGACGCAAATAAGTAGTAAGACTTTCACTGACGATCCCGGTCAATTGCCGAATATTAACAGGAGAAACTTTAGGAAGAAAATCCAAAAGTTACGTTGTAAATATTTCCCTTGATTACTAGAGAATATAAGTTTAGGATGGTCAGACTTCCGACTTTGTACCTCCTGTTTTGATGTCATCAATCAGACTAAAATCTGAACAAAACATTGTTTTCTCGTTTCGTCGCACAACACTCCCACATTGCTGAGCCAGCATTTAGCCCTTGCTAAGAAATCTTCCCTCTTTTACCCCTCAGACCTAGACCCTACACAAATTATTGCAACATAGAAGTCAATGACTTTAACAAAAGATAAGTTTCGTTCCTCCATGCACGAAGAGATTGTTTTTAAACAGTTTGTCGACAACCGACAGACAGAATTTACATATTCTTGATCCTAGTGGTATTTGGAATTCTTTGGATGCACACAAATTGTTTGAATAATGTCAAGGTTCTTGTAGGCAGGCCCGTCGCTAAGAGGAGAGGGTGGGGGAGGGGCGAGGGGCCCTCCCCCCTCAACATTATATGTATTTGTGTTTTTTTCTTGTGGTGTTCCCCCTAGCTGGTAATGTGGTCCCCCAATGCCCGGAACTTGCGTTGGGGCTAGTTGTAGGTACTGTCTTTCACGAAGGACTACGACTGAAGCCGTTCATTCATTACATTTCTAAAAACATTCTACCACGGCTCTATTGGTATTGGTTCTACCAATTTTAAATGCACATTATGTAGTAAACATCCTCATTCGGAGACGATAATTGTGTCACAAAAACTGGAGTTTTGCAAATGTAAGATTCATTTTTATTTTTAGCCTTCGATTGCAAACGTGAAGACTTCGGCATATTGGGTAATCGTAAACGAATGCATTCGATAATAAATTTTGATTTGTGGTTGTAAAAATGTAATGCGAGTTTATTGTATTGCCCTTGCTGTTATGGACTGCCATGTCAGCCGATCCGGACTATCTATCTTATCAACTATCCACGGGGACCAGGCCGTTTGGTACAGGGCAGCATCCCCACAAATCAATCCGCGCCGTGCTTTGGGCTCAATGCACCGCAAACATCATTTTATGAAAACTTCCCAAGGAAACATAATGTGAACATATCGGCGTAAGTTCCGCAACACGCATGCAAAATGTCGTCGATTTGGCGTTGCACGTGGCTGATGCAAAAAAGATCGTTGTGGTATAGGCCTACTACAAGACTAGGAAATTCGTTTCGACCTCTCGACATTGGTACTTTTCAAAGGCATATTGTTATTCTTCAAACATGAATGGAAGAAGGCCAATTCGGTACGAGTGTTCGCAGCTACCGCACACATACGTTCACTTCTATTGTCAGTCAGATCTATGCTGGCAAGAAGTACTCCATTCATTTAAGACGTGTTTAACCCCGAAGGATGAACCACTGAACAGAATGACAGCATCAAGACAAGAAGTTACCGTCGATGATGTAGGTAGAGAAAAACAAAGGAGATGTTACCCTAACGATCATCCCCTCCCAAGCACTTGGGATTACCATAACTCACACGGTGATCTTACAAACACTTGTGGACACGTTAAAGTGGCAATTGCCCTCCCCCTTATTAGCCCCGCATTGTCTGTCGCTTTGTGGCGGAGCGAGTTGAAGTGTTGACGAGGGGGGAGAGTGTGCTCGGAACCCCGGTGAGGAGATGTACCCAGCCCCGGTTCGTGTTTGCTCTGCCTCGGAGCCCGGAGGGGTTCCACATTTCTCAAAATCCTCCGCGCTGAGGAACAAACCCAAATCCGCATTGTACAATCCTGGCCTGTCACTTATTTCAAGCAATGTGCATGTTTTGCGTTCCGCAGTCAAATACTCACTTCAATTTTATTGGGCAAATAATAACATCAACTTGTCAAGACAACACCAAAATACCTCATCTGAAGTCAAATGCCTCTTATCCACGAGGTGTAAACATAATATTACCTAGTATAATACCATTTCTTATACCTGTTTCATTGTCGAAGAACACAATTGGTGAATTAGATATTTTCCCGGAAAAGATATTAGTTTCTTTAGTGTTCAGAATGAAAACCGCCCTCTTCTTGACAGGTCTATCGAGCTTAATCCTGGTTTCCTTTCATTTTTGAATTCTGGGAAATTTTCCAATGAATTACTCCGATGATCGAGTTGGGCAAGTTTTAACGTATGTCAAAACATCTTAGTTCAAATACATAAGGCGTCCCAACTAACTGTGGATAGTTTGATAGTGCCATGAAAACTACCCCTTATTTTTAAAGACTAAAACTAGGGACTATAGGGATTTAGAATGAAAACCACTCCAATTTTGGATTGAAGTACTTTGAAAAAAAACCCATCATTTCGTTCGGAACTCGAGTGACAGCCTGGTCTTTTTGATTGAATTAATTTCACTCTTAATCGTCTTGTGCCAATATGTATTTGGGTGGAGTAAACTTTAATTGACTGAATTTTCACTCCTTGAAAATTAAGAGAGCATGATATACGAATACCTTTTGGGCGTAGCGCTTGACAAAGATATCAATAATAAAAGTAGTGGTAAGAAAAGTAAATTGCTTGTCAAGCATGTGTCTAGCACCCCCAATGCTGATGCAATTTGTTGTCCACGAACATGATACGACGGGGTTGTTTGGAGTGGAATTAGCCCACGGAATTCAGCCTTGATTGACCGCGTGAATTTTTGCCTTGAATTATAAACGTCGGAGAAAGCATAACAAACAACAACGATTGCAGGAGATTAGGCGGAGTAGAACAATGCACACGTGCGCCTGGAATGTCTACAAAAACATCTCTTAATGGAATCTGTGAAAAGGTAATTCTTGACAGTTTTTTAATTGCCATCTTTTTGGAACCATTTTTTTTGCAAGAACTACAGTTTATTTGTTAGTAGGAAAAAACTCCCTATGTTCTCGAAAACTTTCAAAATCATGTCCGGCTCAACAAATTCTGATTTCTGAACTGACTTTTCCCTAAAACGGTACCCTAGGTCGTTCATAGTTTCATTCCAAAAAGGTTCGTGGCCCGCAGATTAAATAAAGATAAGCAGCCAAGTCGATCTTCTTTTGATGCGGAGTAAGGTTTTTGGTTGTTAATTCAAGAAAATTGAACATTCACAATCAGCTTTTCTGCTCTCTTGCAGGCTCTGCCACGCTTTTGATGTTGGTATTCAACCTTATTGTGCTCACGAGATAAGACCCAGCCAAAAGTCCAGCCGAGATCTCGTGCCTGTCTTGATACAGCGGGGTGCCGCAGACCGTAAAAATAGTCTCAAGGCCGGCCGAGCGATCCCCGTAATTATTGGGTGCACAATGGTGCTTGATCCCATTAACCTGATACCCGTGTCATAGTCAGGTCTTCTCCCCGGGAGAGATGGCTCAACACTCTCGGTGAAAAGTAGCGACATCGTCCCGGTCAATACGTCCGTGTGTCTGCGAGGCCCTGTTTTACACGCTTGGGCGAACTGGACAAGAGAGCTTTCAGATTATTATGAGCATGTGTCGAGACTTTCTTTTTCTTTTCTTTTTGACTTTAGGGTTCTCATCTTCAAACTTATGCCTTTTCAACTCCCCATATTAAAAAGTACGGTTTGTGGGATGTTTCTAAAAGGAAAATGTCGGAGAAGAAGTACTTGTTCAGCATCAAGCTGATCTATCGGCCAATCAATAAGCAATTGACATTCTTCAGTCACTCTTTCCTTAGTTCTTTGTTGGACCATTGGCACTCAATACACACATGTAAAGGTGTCAGGTCTGTGTTGAATTTCTGTCGCTTCACTTCAAAAACTTCGATCCACGGTGCACATTGAAGTGGCGCAATGGGGTTCCGTTGCGTCTGTGTGTCTGATAACTTCTCTGTCTAGTATTATTTCTTTAATAGCATGAAAAAAAGGACGTAAAAGAAGGTGATTACTTCTGCCAACCACGAGTAAACCTGTTTTATCCCGAAAAAAACCCGTTGGAATCATTCATCTGCACGTAACAAGAAACATTTATCCCCCAGCAGTTTCACTGTAATTACAAAGCGACAAAACATTGTACGTAATAAATGCATGTATCTTTCATTTTGTCTTATCTAGCTAATAATCCAGTCACATAGATAAAGAACATCTATCATCAAGAAGCTGAGGTACGGTTTACCCTGAACTTCCTTTCGGAAATGGCTCTTTTAGTAGAGGGTATTATATCAAGTTGCTTTGGACATTATGAGAAAGAAGAATGGGTAATCTGAAACTTACCACCAAGTAACGTCTTGAGCGTATGTGACAGCCACGACAATGCCGAGTAACATCCACAGATTCCTCATTGTGTTGAGCCGTGTCGTGCCCGCTACAAGCCGCCCGGTGCCCCGGCAGTGGCTACCCGATGACATGACCAGTCTCCCGGTGATAAGCCAACCTCTCTTTGTCGGTGCTGTGAGATTTCTGGCCGAGTAGTAGAAAAACCTGAAGTCGCGTGTGAGATGTCTTGATGCAATCCAGTCCGTATTTCAGTGTGGAGTGACGTCGTGCAGTATAGATTGAGCAGTATGAGTCCGAGGTAAAGTCTCACTGTGTATAATTCCAAGCAGTTCGCGTCTAGGTTCTGACGGTGCGGAGTGTGGAAGTTGGCGTTCCTCTCACATCTGTGGACGTGTGACCATAATGTGACTTGCCTGGACAGCTAGCTGATACCTTATCACCCCTTGCTCTCACGAACGACACCGGGACCTCCGGCTGCACAAAAGGAAAACAGTGACGTCACCAAGTTAGAGGTGTGAGATCACGGGAGAAAAAAAAGGAAAAGGGAGAAGAGAAAAATAACAACACCGACATTACCCCCGCAGTTATTGTGGGAGGGAACAATGCCCCAGCGCTGGGTGGTGGTGCCGGGGATAGGGCCGTGTGTGGCTCGCTTGAATTAGCCCTGACAAAAATCAGGAAAGCAACATCTAGCAAGGTAGCGGGGGAAAATACATATTTTTAAATGTTGCATGGAACTAGATCGCTACACGAACGCTGCGGCAAATGAGAGGGGAAAAAAATGATCACCTGTGAAGTGTATGTTTATTCACTGACTGATGTAATATGATTAACACGCAAGTCATCACTCGGGGTTCCCGCGGAATGCTTTTGAGCTCGACCGCGCGTGTAATGTTTGCAGCGCCGGACCGAAAAATATGAAAATCCCCCGGCGACAGACTGGGGGCTTGAAGGCCGTGAACCAACCGCTCTGGTTCCTTTGCAGTTAACACCAATGTGTACGGATGGATTACAGCACATGATGAACTATGTGCGAAACTCCACGCTAGCATAAAACTGCCAGTATTGTGATCGCGAGTGATCGCTCAACCACTCTCCCGGGTTGTGATTGGTCAAGGGGTCGCAGAGCTGCGTGCGCAGTTCATTCAACGTAGTAACTTGAGCCTTTTGTTCAAATAAGGTGGAGACTGGAGAGCACATTTGTACTGTGCGACCTTTCTCGAATTTTGCCTATGTATCCAGATTTGTATACATGATACAATATTTTTTTTCTTCTCGTTTTGTTCAAGGCATAAAGAGAATGTTCCGGAGTTGGTTGCTGCCAGCAGTGGCCAGTCAATTTGCGGCCCGGAGCTAGAGTGGAAAGAAAAAAACACCAAAATCCCAAATGTCTATCCCAAAGTCTAAAACTTTTGAATAAATCCCGAAAATATGAATAATGGATGGTGTATTTCACAGAACAGAATTGACACGTGGCGCTTGCCAAAAGCAAATGTAGGCCTACCGACAAAGTGCTGCCAAATGGAAAACTCACAAAATCTTCAGCTAAGCTGTTGATAAAATAATCTTCTTGTTTGAAACAAGTTATCTTTAAACAAATTACTCGTTATGTATTTTATCATTTCGCAAAAAATCAACCACATTTAGATTGTGTTCAGTTCCTGCTCGTGTTTTGATTCACAGTCGTGTTTCTAGGCGTACACAGGCGTAAACAAAGTATTACTAACGATATCTGCCATCAGAACTGACTTGTCAAACTGGTACGTTACACATTGGCAATGGCAGAGTTATACACTCAACCAACCGGTTCTTTTCAGAACCACACTTCTTCCAAGAATAGATTTCTTTCCACATGGTGTTACCCGAAAACTTCCTCTATTTTATCTCATCCGCCATGCAAAGCTTCAAGTCATATATATTGGCAATGTTCCCTGCTGTATGACAGACAGGTTATTAACCAGCTAGGCAAGTACAAGATTACACGACACCTAACTGTGGTCGGATTAGCTGGATAGATCCCACAGCTCTCGGGCTATCTCCTTTCATTATTTACACAAAAAATTAGTTCCAGTTGAATTCAGTACACGTATGAAAAAGAAAAAAAAAACAATCCGCAGTGTGCGATACCAAACACAGCAAAGTACCATACCAAACACAGCAAAGTACCAGCGACGCGTGATGTAGACATTGCAACTATTCGCAAACCATCGCGATGGTTGCAACGCAACAGTGGTTTCCAGGACGACAATGTGGGGAAATATCAATCATTCATCGGGTGGGAAATTACAGGAAATTGGAAACCTTTAAAACTCCTGGTTTTTGTCCGGGACGATCCAGTTAATTAGGACAGTTATCCCTTTTTGATTCATCAGCGAATTATAAGACGCTATTCGTTATACCAAGGTATTAACGGCGCGCTATCAGCTCGTTCGCGCAAGCAGAAAATACCGCCCTTAAATAATGGTCGCCTTGATTGCATAGCGATTGTACGGGACTGCGACTGAAGCCATATAACGCCTTAAGTCCTTCCTTCTTTTCCCCCTCTCTTCTCTTGGCATTGAGTCAGCCATGTTGGACAATCGCTGAGTCTCCTTGGTTTGTGCCATTGTAGGAAACCCTACCCTGCAGTGTGTATCGGCTTAATAGCAATACAAACACCAATTTGTGGGAATAAAGGCGGTCAGCAAAATGGCTGCCCCGTAGGTAGTCTGGGCACAGACTCGGGTATCTCTCACTATCAAATATCATTTTATGTGTATGATCTGAACCCAAGTCCGATCTCCAGTCTATCACAGCGGATCCTGAAATCACAGTGAACCCCAAGAGCAAAACTTAGTCAAAATCTAATGCTCCTAAGTGATACTAAAAATGTTGGGACATCATCGTACCTACTCCTTTATTAAATGATTGTTTCATATTTTTAAAAAATATGTTTTAGAAAATAATCACGTTTTGAACACCAAATGAAACTTTTGAGCCATTTTTTCGCTTCTAACTAATTCCCCACGCATGCAGTATTCGTACGTGTAGGCCGTACCAACGTGAAAAAGTTGAGGAATTATAACATTAAGTTGGCACAAACATTTTGGCTTCAGGTTTTTTTAGTGCAATGACTTGCCTCGCCAAGTGAAACACGACGACAAAAACTTGAGAAGCGACCGTAACTCGAACAAGGCCTCTGCGGTCAATTTGCGAAACTCCGACCGGCCGGCCGAAAGGTCCGGATTGCGGTGATATTCAAGTCGGCAAAACCGCTGACGGGCATTACGGAATATTATGGTAACAAGCTTTTGCGCGAATACTCCGAGTATTGAATACGGATAATGGTCTGCGTGAACGACCGGTCCAGCTGGAAAGCTGTGGGGCTGAACACTGTAGCCTATTCGTGTTACTATCTGCCTCGGGTGGTGTTTTTTTAGCCGCCGAGAACGGGTTGCTGGAAGAGTCGTAACTTTGATGTCTTGATCCCGATGAACAAATAAACAAATCTGAACAAAACAGCAACGATTCTGTACTTTACTGCCAAAATAAACAAAAGAGAAAGCAAACGCCAAATAAAAACAGATGTGAATGCAGATCGAATGAGAAAATTACCTGTATTATAAAAGAAAAACACAAAGAGCATTTCTTCTTCTCGGTAACTGCCTGTCGCTCTTACGGAGTATTCCCACCCTGCTCGTCTGTTACAGATTTGTGTCAAATCTACAACTTCCCGTTGTTCTTTTCAAGTAAACTCATAAATAAGTCTAGCACATATCTGTGCCATAAAAATGACCTGACGAGAAAATAGGTATAGGCCTCCAGCACAGTCTTAACTGACAGCTGGATTGGTAACACGCAAAAAGCTTAAAAGCCATAGTAGTATAACTACAAGGAATAACTTGAGAGGTCAGCTCCCAACAACCAACCTACTTGTATTCTTGATTCAAGACGCCGTAGAAGCAGCTGAGCGCATGATCGTCAATAAGTTCGACAATATCGTGCGTGACCGGTTCGTCTACGATAGCGCCCCCATACGGTGCGGATGTGTCAATACAACAACACGCCTCGAGGCAAGGCTAACTTTGTTGTGAAGGTTGCCATGTTGTGCGACCTACATCATGAATGACCCGATGTGACTGACCAGTTTCCCGCCAAGGAACCCACACGTCGTCATATTGGTAAATAATTAATTAATAAGAAAGAAGTGAACACCGCACCCGGGTAAAAAAAAATACTAGTTTTGGATGTCCGAAAGACACGATCATTGCCTAGGGTTATCAATTTACCTCCTAGGAATTAATTGCACGCTTGCCTTGACTGGGATTAAGTCAAGGACAAAATTACGGCACCACTTTTTTCAATTTTTAGTGCAAAATCCTTAGTCCAAATTTGATGGCACAAGACCACAGGCAGAATGTTAAATTTGTAATAAAAAAAACATTCTTAATTAGAGTTCTCACTGAGAAGAAACAGTATGTGTCTGGTTCGTAGCTATGAGTGATGTAGCTTGATTTACTTGCACGAAGCACGAGCCTACATACAAGCCTTAAAATCCAGGAAACCACTTTTGTTTTTCTGTTAAATATGCACGTCTGAAAATTAGAATTGAACCCAGACTTTACGTTTGTTATTCTTGAACCAAGAATTATCAACGTATAAATGCATCGAAGGTTTCGAGCCAGCGATGGACTTAGTAATAGCCGCACACAAGCGTCTGATATTCACAAAATTCTGCGATTCATTATGCAAAACAAGACTGCGTCTTGATCTCTAGATTCTGACCATTCAGGGGGCGCCTTGTATCGGGTCTTCGGTATCCCGTTGTTGTGTTACAAAAATATGGCATCCAAAGTAACCAATCAACGGCTTAGTCCACATTTCTGATAGAAATGACGTCACACTTTCTAAAGTCGACTCCTATTGGTTGACACGCGGGGTCACAGCCACGATATATCAGACGTTCGTACCGTGGCTCTGCAGTGCACACGTGATTGTCTAATTGTCAAAGTAGACTTGGAGCCGACTCAAGGTGAAAAAAATAAAATGGTCGAACATTCCTGTTATTTCAATAGTATCCATCGAGGAGACCTAAGTGAACTTCCATTTACCGATCAAAACCTCGAGAAGCTTTGATTAACTACTAACCAGACCGACCGTTAAAGATGCGCTCCCCGTACTCTTCAAAAACATATTTTTTCTCCTTAAAAAAATTCAATTTGTAGCCCATGGTTTGATTTAATGGAAAAAATACTTGATACCGATTTTGGGCTCTACCACCCTCTTAAAAGGACTCCCTTTTGTGCACAGGTGAACCCGCCCCGCGACAGGCGATTTGTCAAGCAGCCAATAATTCGATTTTTCTGAAGCAATAATACAATAACTAAACTTCGGTGGAAGAGTTTTTCGTTCGCTGTCTATTTTTTGAGGTGAAACTCGAAAAGTAGCACGGGGAACGCATCTTAAAAACAAACCAAGAAATTTCACACGCACTTTGAATCTCATGGTGTTTTTTTCTTTATAAGTAGCCCAAACCAGTCCTGTTTGCCATGTGCTCAGTTCATTACCGAGACGAGACGGCGATTAAGCACCAATCAGCGAGACTTGGGTGGCGGATGTGATGGGGGCATTGCCACCTGAGGCCCCATGGTTTAATGACCGTAGCTTACCCCCCCCCCCCCCGCCACCTCCACAAATCCGACAGCTCACGCGATATGCGACTCGTCTCGCAACAAACTCCACCAGCCATAAAATCATTCTGATCCAGAAAGGACAGGCTAAAGGGGCGGATCCAAGTCTGGATCAAGAGGAGGGGGGTTAATAGCTGCCAAGATAGGGGGTTCAGTGGGATTTGCTGCTTATTTCTGCATGCTTTTCCTATGTTTTTGCGGCTTAAAGAGGAGGTTTAGACCCCCTAACCCCCCGTAGATTCACCACTGGCTGCTTTATACCAAGAACCAGACACATCTTTATTCTCTCGGTGACCGATGCAGGATGTTGTTAATGAAAACCGGTACTAAATAACTCAGCGATTCATTTCTTTCAATCACGG